TGTATGAATAATTAGTTAAATGTTTATATTTTTATTGATTTGTGATTGCATTTTTCTTTATTTTTATATGAATATTATGCTTTGTATATGCTATTGTGATGAATAATTAGTTAAGTGTTTGAATTATTTTTTGAAAACCTGTGATTGCATTTTTTATTTCTTAAGTGTTATGGTGAAGCTTTGTTTGTAAAATATCATCTGGTGATGTTATTGTATTTTTTGTTCATATTTTTATATTTTCTTGAATAACCCAAAATTTCAATTTTTTGAATAACCCAAATTTTCTTTTTTTGAACAACCCAACTTTTCTTATTTTACTTTTTTAAATTCTCATTTGTTTTGGTGTTTTTTTATTAATAAATGTTTGGTTTATTATTAATATGTATAATTAGTATTATCCTATTTTATTTTTTTAAATAGGATATGGGTGGTGTTCTTTATATTTTCTTAAAAAATCCAAAATTTCATTTTTTGATTTATTATTAACATGAATACTTAATATTATCCTATTAAGTAATAATATTATTATTATTATATTATTTATCAATATTATTCATTATTTGTTATTATTAGTTATTATTATTATTATTATTATTATTATTATTATTATTATTATTATTATTATTATTATTAATTGGGTCCACATGGTGCTCCACGTGTGGGTCCACATGGGCTCTCAGTTGTCATGATGTATCGATTTTGTATTGAAATGTATAGTATAATATGTGAAAAAAATTGTATATATGTATGAGTGAAATAAGGGCTAAAATTGTCATTTGTGTCAATATAAACACTTGTAGAAAAAGTAGTTTACCAAACATCCCCACCCCAATAAGTGTTTAAAAACATAATAAGTGATTTGGCAAATGGGTCACCAAATGGCCTTAAGTGATTGTTAAAATAAGCACTTCTATAAAGTACTTGTGCAACAAATACTTCTTTTAACAACCACTTTATCACCAAATATAGCTTAAATAATCCAAAAGTTGCTCATTTGCCAAATAGGAATAAATACTTATTTTTTATTTATTATTAGTGGAATCGCCCGTGTGATGCATGGGGTATTTGATATTGATGGTGATGTTTGACTATGCTTTTATATATCGGGTATAGATTTGTAATTTATGTTATTTTCTTCAATTTTTATGATTTTCTATTTTTTTAGTTTTCTATATATTTCTTTGTTTTTTATAATTTATATTATTTTCTTCATTTTATGTGTTTTTTCATAATTATTTTGCAATAACATATATATAATGGGAAAAATAGAAAGTTGAGGGTAAAGTTGGAAAGTAAAATTAGAGTGTTTTGACCAAACCAATTGTACCATTCTCATTTTTTTAGTATGATATATAAGTTTCTATGATTTTCTACATTTTTTTAAAATTTTCAATGTATTTCTTTGTTTATTGTAATTTATATTGTTTTCTTCATTTTATGTTTTTCATAATTAGTTTGTATTGATAATATATATAATGGAAAAAATATAAAGTTGAGGGTAAAGTTGGAAAGTAAAATCAGAGTGTTTTGACCAAACGAATTGCAACATTTTTATTTTTTAGTATATATGATATACACGGTATAGAAATTTTTAAGATGTTCTATATTTTTTTGTAAAATTTTTGTGTATTTCACATTCTCATTTTTTTAGCATGGTATAGAAATTTTTACGATTTTTTTTTGTAAATGCTTTTGTGTATTTCTTTGTTTTTTTTTATAATTTATATTGTTTTCTTTATTTTGAGGAGAAAGGTGCATAGGATAAAGAGACCATTTCTATTTCCTCTTTCTTATTGTGAAGTAAGGGGAATGGATATGATATACCTTATACATAGAGCGGTTTAAAGGAGAAAACTGGGGTTTAAGAATTTATTTCTTCGCTTCATGTGTGAATGATAATATTTGGCTATTTGCCTCATGTCATTCTGCTTGTCAATGGTGGGGTCGTTCTTTGCATATCTAACGACTAGCGTTGGGATATAAGTTGATATTGATTCGTTTATATTTGGATTTGAATTGAACATCTTTCTGATTTTTGTAGAAGAGTCCGGATCTCCTACCAACAACACGCATTCCAAACCCCTACGACCCTACCAAGTACCAAACCTCTACGGTATTACGTTTGTAGGGTGTTAGATTATTGGACTGGCTTGATGATCGTCGAGAAAAAACACCCTAAAACAAATCAATATAATGAACCTAAAAGCATTTCTCGATCTAATACAACTTATTATGTTAACGGAGACAATCGAAATAGAGGGGAAATGGAAAAAAAACTGAAAAAATAGAGAGAAAACAAAAAAAGGCTTCATTTAATCATCTAATTGATTGTTTGATGGTGAAAATAGAGAGGTCAAAAAAATCCATTCCTCCCTTCAATTTGAATTCGTGGGTTTTGGTCAAACCATCCGATACATGACCTATGTTGGCTCTAATCAATGAAGATGTTCGTCAGGTAGGCTTGATGGGAGTCGGCCTGCCAATGATACCTAAAAATCCGAGACCCAATTCGACATCCAATCTGATTATCTTGGATTCAGATTATGTATTTATGTAAGATCGGGATGTTACAATCTACATCCAATTAATAATCAGATCGAATTTGGATTTGACCCAATATGATTTGATTAAAATTTAAATATGACTATATTATAATATTTATTAATTTTAATATATAAATTCTATATAATTATATTAAAATTTATAAAAATATATTTTAAATATTATATTATATATGAATTTATATATAATAAATTTAGTATGGTATATATACATATATATATATATATATATTAATTTATTATATATAAAAGTTGAAAAATAAATATTTTTTTTTAATTTTAGTGGTATTTTAGAGAATTTAAAGTGAAGTTGGATTAAATCCAAATCTGATATGAGTTTGTTAGGATTCAAATTCAAATATGAGTCTCTAAATCCAATCGGATTTCAGATCAAATTTGAATGTAGGTTCTTAATATTCGGATTGGATGCAGATTTTGTTACATCCAATCAGAATCCGATCCGATTGCAGCCTTATTAGGGAGAAGATTAGATAAGGCCTAAGGGGAGAGAGAGGAGTAGGTTCCATAGCAGTTTTATTATTACTTTATTTGTTACAAGCGTGAACCGTTAACTAAATAAAACTAGAAAAATGAAAAACTATTATTATTTAATTTATTTGTTTTATCCAATTACAAATGTTAACCGTTAATTAAATAAAATTAGAAAACTAAAAAAGGGTAAAAATGGAAAGTGAAAATCAGGCTTTTTCACGAAACATTGTCACCATCCTCATTTTTATAAATGGTATAGACAACATTCTCATTTTTTAGTATGGTGTAGAAATTTTTTTGATTTTCTATCTTTTTGTACTTTTTTGCGTATTTCTTTGTTTTTTTTTTGTAATTTATATTGTTTTCTTCATTTTGAGGAGAAAGGTGCGTAGGATAAGAGAGATGCCGTTTCTGCTTCATCTTTCCTACTGTAAAGTAGGGGGAGTGGATAAGATATACACTATGTAGATAAGGGTTTAAAGGAGAGAATTGGGGTTTTAGGATTTATGTCTTCACTTCATATGTGAACGATGACATTTGGCCTTTTGCCTCTTGCCGTTCTACTCATCAGTGATGGAGCTGTTATTTGCATATCTAATGCTTAGCATTAGTATATAAGTTAATCCTGATTCATTTATATTCAGATTCAAATCGAACATCCATTCAATTTATATATAAAATTTGGATCTCCTATCAACAAAATGCATTCCAAACCCCTATATCCCTATCAAGTACAACCCCTATGATATTACGTTGGTAGGGTGTCAAATTACCGGATTGGCTCGACGATCATCAAGAAAAAACACCTAAAATGAATCAATATAATGAACTTAAGAGCATTTCCTGATCCAATACAACTTTTTACGTTAAGAGAGACAATTGAAAAAAAAGGGAGAAAAAAAGCTTCATTTAATCACCTGATTGTTCCCTGATGAAAAGAGAGATTGAAAAAAAATTCATTCTTCCCTTCAATTCAAATTCGTAGTTTGGGCAAACCATCCGATACTTGACACGTGTTGGCTCTAATCAATGAAGATGTTCATTAAGTAGGTGCTTTGGGAGAAGAACAAATAAGGCAAGGAATAGGTTCTACAGTAGTCTTATTGTTATTTTATTTGTTTTATCCAATTACAAGTGTTAATTGTTAATTAAATAAAATTGAAAAATAAAAAACATAACAAAAGGTAAAAATGAAAAGTGAAAATCAAGCTTTAAAATAAAAAAAACATGATAGAGGGTAAAAATGAAAAATGAAAATTAGGCTTTTTGACAAAACATTGTCACCATCCTCATTTTTATAAATGAGAAAATGATGAGATATAGAGATTATCCAATTACAAGTGTTAACTGTTAATTAAATAAAATTGGAAAAATAAAAATATAACAAAAGGTAAAAATGGAAAGTGAAAACCAAGATTTAAAATAAAAAACATGATAAAGGGTAAAAAATCAGTCTTTTTGATGGAACAATTTGACCATCCTTATTTTTATAAATGATACAGATGAATATATATATATATATAATTCTGTTATTTTAAGAGGGATTAGGATTGGAAATATGAAATCAAAGAAAGGTAAAATTGGAAATATAAAATCAAGGTGTTACACGATAGACGCTAATCCCTTTCTCTTTTTATAAATGGATAAGATGTGATCTCATTATTTATTTTAAATATTTATTTAAATAAATACTATTTTAAGTGAAATCAGACAATACGAAAGAATCCGACTAAGAATACATGGACCGACCAATACATAGCCCCAACATTTCTTTCTATAATATTATTATGCACGGGTAAATATTCCTAATCGACGGAGGTAGGTGTTTGTGGGTAGGGATGGATAGTGTTTATGCGGGTAGGAGATCCGGAGGCAATTTTCGAGTTCAAATCAGCCCCATAAGATTGCCCCACAGTGACGTTTCACAGCACATCTCAGCACATCCCCCGCCGTGTATTGGGAGCATCTCCCGGTGATGACATCACCCTTTCTGATATTATCATCGGGAGATGTTCCCACGGGAATGAAGTGGTTCCCTCTTGGCATTTCGATCAACTGCAGAACCATCGATGTCCACGGAAAAATCCTTCTTTTACGTTGATGAACACTGGGAGTCCTCTCATCCTCTGTTCCAAATCAGCCATTGAAGAGCCCCTTCCAGGTTAGTTCATCACTGAATGTGGGTTCCTGAACATGCCAAGTTAAATTTTCTTCAGTCTGTTTGGCTGGCTGGGTTGGACTCAGTGCTCTAGGGCTTTTGTTGCTTTTTTTACGTACAACAAGCAAGTTGCTTGGGTTAATGTGCTCTACCTTCAATGTTTTTTTTTTTTTTTTTGTTTCGATTGCTTTGTTGCAGGCAATAATCAGGTGCGGTTGTGTTACGATTCTATGTTATTCAATTTCTTAGGGTTTTGGTTGTTCTATAATATAAAATAATTGGTGGGGGTGTATTATGATTCTCTGTTATTCAACTTTATAGGGTTTTGATTGCTTTATTACATACAATATCTGGTGGATTTAGTTAATATTTTCTTTTCTTCAGTGTCCTAGTGGTTCGGGTGATTTATTACATAGAAAGATGTATGATTTGGTAACTATTGTCTGTTCTTTGATGTTTTAGGACATTGATTACCATATCAAGTGTTACATTTACCGTAGTACTGGAGTGCACTGCTTTAATTGGACCACGAAAACATTTCTCAACTGTTCTACAAAATAGAATCAGTTTTATCTCTGATTTGTGTAGAACTGATATTTAGGAATGGTGTCTAACTCGGAGAAGGTAATCTTATGCTATTGCATGAGTGGTGGTGAGTTAGTAACATATCCAGATGGATCTGTTTCTTACAAAGGCGGCATTACAAAAGGAGTGAGAGTTGACAGCAATACCAAATACAGTGATTTTATACGCGAGCTCTGCAGCAAATTTGAAATTGATCCAAACACAGTAACCTTGAAATATTCCACTCCATTTGACAAGAGCCGCCTTCTTGCTTTGTCGGATGAGTCTGATTTTGCAAATTTGCTAGGTTTTAACCAAGGAATTGCGGATGTGTATCTAGTTAAAGGAGAGAGGTGTGTAGAATCCCAGGAAACTACAAGGTAATTTGCACAGTGATGACAATTTTCTTTTATGGCAGATAATGTTCTTATTATCATTGATAAGTAACTCAAATTACTATGATTCAGGTGCTCTGGAGATGTTTTGGTAGGATCTGTAGTTGAAGATTCTAACCTTGAGGAAGCAACAAACAGGTCAAATGACAAAGCTCCTTTGCTGTCTGCATTATGGGAGAATGCCATAAAAGGGGTAGGACAGATGTTTGACAGTAGCAATGAGTTCCGAAATGCACTTTCCAATTTCTCAATAGCTTGCCGTTTTGGGTATAAGTTTATCAGGAATGACCGTGAGCGCATAACTGCACAATGTGATGCTGATGGCTGCAAATGGAAAATCTATGCTACTGCAGTAGGAAACTCCAACAAATTTAGGGTACGCAAATATGAAGATAAACATACCCACCCAACTAATTATGAGGAGACTGTGAAGTACCGAATATCAAAGACATGGGTTTCTAATATTATAAAGGAAAAAGTTCGAAATAACCCTGCTTATATGCCACGGGAAATAATTGAGGAAATAAAGCGTGACTACAATGTTGACATAGCTTATCATCGGGCCTTGTGGGGCAAGGCAACTGTAAGGGAGGCTGTAAATTTATCACTCAAGAACTCCTTCAAGCTTGTACCTTGGATTTGTCAAAGACTGGTTGAGTCTAACCCTGGCACTGTTGCTGTGTACACGTCAAAAAGTGACTCAACATTCCATCAGCTATTTATTGCTTACTATGCTTCTATTCATGGGTTCCGTGTTGGTTGCCGTCCTATTCTTTTTGTGGAGGAGAAATCCTTGAATGGAAAATATCTTCATACATTACTTTCTGTGACAGCTGTGGATGCTGACAATCGGATGTTTCCTGTGGCTTTTGCTGTGGTTGAGTCAGGATCCTTGGAAAATTGGAGATGGTTTTTTAGAAATGTAAAGGTGGCTCTTGATGACAATAGAGATATCGTTTTTGTGTCTGACAGGAAGGAAGACATTGTTAAGGCAGTTAAGGAGATATATGGGTCAGTGCCTCATGCACATTGTTACCGCCACTTGACCGAAGGTTTCAAGATGATGTTGAAATGCTTACATTTGTCCCCTTCAGTGCAGGATGTGCTAAAGATGTTATTGGATAAAACTGCATATGCAAAGACTAGGGTAGATTTTGACAATGCTTTGGGGAAAATGAGGTCTATTTCAGAGGAGGCATATGGCTGGGTTCTGAAAAATGAACCTATTCACTGGGCTAATTCACTATTCCCTGGCAAGCGTTATGACCAGTTCAGTGTGAATATTGCTGATTCTTATGGTGCATGGATTCCAGAAGCACAAGAGCTGTCAATAATAGAATTGATTAACCTAATCCGTAAAAATATAACAGATATTATGTTTGGAAGGCAAACTAATTGTGTTGCATGGAAATTTCCTGTGGGTGGTACAATTGAAGAAATGTTGAAAAGGAATATTAGCAAAAGTGAAGGATTACATTTCCGTTGTTCATCGGCCTTTAGATTTGAAGTGTTTGGGATTCCTATCAATTATTGTGTGGACCTAATCCAAAGGACTTGCTCTTGTAGGGAGTGGGATATGGTTGGTCTCCCATGTATACATGCATGTGCGGCACTTAAAAGTATTCAAGCTGACATCTATTCATATGTGGAAAAGTGCTACCTAAAAGAGACACAACAAGCCATTTACTCAGAGTGCATGCATGCAGTATGGACAAATGAAATACCTGATGGTACCTCCATGAATGGGATTGATGATGATGCTTCAAGTTCTGGACTTGGTCTTCTTCGTCCTCCTTCTCCTCCTCCATGTCTTCGCCATTTGCATGGTTGTCCAAAGAAACATATGGAGCCTCGAAACAAAGAAAAAAATATGGAGCCTCAAAACAAAGAGAAGAGGCCACTTCATTGCAGTCTATGCAAGGAGGCTGGCCACAACCGCAAGAGATGTAAGATCCAGATGTAACATTATCTAATTGAGGTATACATAGTTCTTATTTCTTTTTTTTTTTTTTTCTTTTTTTAAATCTGACCATATTAAATATGAAACAACATAGCATATAAAAAGAGGGGTCAGCATTGGTAATCTAGGTTCTTCAGGAGTGGGAATGGTGTTTAGGGATGGTTATGGTGGAGTGAAGGTGCTTTTCTCGGGGTCTATTAGAGATGGGATCTCTTTAAGAACAGAACTGTTGGCTGTATTACAATAGTGAAGCTAAGACAATTAATGGACATCAGAAAGTTGATAATGGAAGGGGACTATCAGTTGGCTTCATTCACAATAAGAGCCAGGCAATGTGGCAATTTAGGCAAGTTATCAAGAAGATTCAGTGGTTGATGGGTGGACAGGATATGTCATTTAAATGGGTCAACAGATCAGCAAATGGAATGGCTGACATGTTAGCAAAATCAGGTTAATAGACATGAACTTATCTGGGATGCAATATATTGATTTCAACATGTATAGGGAACTCCTAGCTGCCTAACCCCAATATAAATTTTAGTAATATATAACAAACTAGCTCCCGGCTTCATCTGTTAGCCCCCAATATAGTTGTGCCCTGTTTACCCCTTGTTTGGCTAACGTATCCGTCAAGTCATTTGCTTCCCTTATGGTGCATTGAAATATTTGTTGCAATTCTCGTATTAGTTTTCTATTTTCCCTCATTACTTGCCTATATATATATATATTTTTTTTGAGAAATGGTGAATATTACCAAAAGATTAGAAAAAGATAAGGCTACTGAGGTAGAGATTTCCTCAGCAGCCAGATACAGATAAATCCAACAGGTTATGGATTACAACGAGAAATCATCATCCCATACGATAGCATTCCAATGATCAGCAAAATGCTTAAAATGGGAACCCCTAAATAGATTGTTAATGGAGATCCATTTCACCAAAGTTTTCTCAGTAGCAGCACACACTTTCTCCGGAGGACTGGCCTTGTCTTCAAATAAGCAGTTGTTCCTCTTTCCATAAGCACCAGCAAACCACCAAAGGGGAGACTTTTCAGAGAACCTTACCCCTCTTTGAAAAAGCCTGACCACGCCACTGAGGCAAGAGGAAGGCAAGGTCCGAGGGGGTGATCTAGTTCATACCAAACACATGAGCCTAAACCTTGTGAGAGTAGCTGCAAAGGATGAGCAGATGATTGGCAGATTCCTTGGCTTCCCCACATAAACAACATCGATTAACAAGGACCATCCCTTTTCTCCTATACACATCTGTAGTGGGAGTTTTACCCTTGATGGCAACCCAAATAAAGAACTGAACCCTCAAAGGAATGGCTGTCTTCCAAAACCAAACCCAAGGGGGGAAAGGATCATCTGTGAAAAGCAAGGAATTCAGCATTGACTTCACTGTAAAACTACCAGAAGCTTCTTTGGTCCACCAAATCTTGTCAATATCCAGGGGTTGAAACTGAACTTTTTCCATAGCTTGCAGCAAACCCATGAGAGCTTCCACTTCCCAATCATTTGCCTCTCTTCTAAGCCTCGGCATCCAAACAAGCTGGTTGAAAAGTCAAGACATTCACAGACCTGTGCCTCCTTGTTGAGAGTCAAAGGCAAAGATTAAAGGAAAATCCATGCTGAGAGGGTTGGCACCACACCCCGTCTTTCCAGAAAACAATTCTTTCACCAAAACCAGGCTTGAAAGAAATGCAGCTGGAAAAAAGATTCCTGTTCTGCAAAATACCCTTTCACACACTCATTCCAAAAGTTTCAGGTGTTGCACCTGATTCCCAGCCAAAGGAAGCTTCCCCATATTTGTTCTGGATTACAGATTTCCAAAGCAGGTCACACTCCATTGTAGGCCTCCACAGCCACTTGGTTAGCAAAACCATATTCATTTGTTTGAAAGGCTTAATGCCTATGCCCCCTTGCTATTTGGATTTACAGACCTCAGACCAAGCCACGAAGTGAAAACTCTTTTTCTCTTCAAACCCATCCCAAAGGAAGTCTCTCCTCAATTTTTCAATAGTTCTAATCACCGAGCCAGGAGCCTTGAACAAAGACATAAAATAGGTGGGCAGGTTTCAAAGGACACTTCTGATAAGAGCGACTCTTCCTCCTTTTGACAAGTAAACTTTCTTCCAGCTTGCTAGCTTGAATTTGATCCTTTCAATTACTGGGTTGCAAATGTCCTTAGCTTTACAGTGTGCCCCAAGGGGAAGACCATCAAATTTCGAAGGATGACGGCTTACTCCACAACCCAAAACAGCAGCCAGTTCATCAAGATGGGGAACCTCCCCTACAGGGATGAGAGCTGGCTTTTTGCAGATTAATTTTCATACCAGAGGCAGTTGCAAAACAAATGAGGCGGCACCTAAAGGAAAAGCAAATCCCGACAGATGGGCCTTGAGAAGATTAAAGAATCATCAGCAAATTGGATGAGAGTGATTGGATTACTATTCTTAGACTGCACGGTCAATGTGCTTGCTTTGCCTTTGAGCTTGCCATTAACCACAATTGAAAATTTTGCTGCAGCCATACATCTCATAGTTTTCAAGGCGTCTAGGCGATTCTGGGTGACACTGGGCCGCCTAGGTGATAAAAATTTTATAATATAAAAAACTGACTTTTGGCTAGTTTCTTAGTTTTATATACCATTCAGCATGTAGGTTAATTGAAAAAATAGCAATTCTCTTTATTATGAACATTAAATTTCCTCTAAAAATGTAGTAGATCATCACATCTAAAAGATAAAAATCTTTTACATATATTAATTTCATTATTTTCAAAAGTAATACATAGCAATTCTACTATAATAAGTATTTAATAGAGCAAATTCATATTAATTAGCAGCTAAAGAAGATTATTAACTTTATATTATAAATATTCAAGATGGAAAGCAAAATAGAAAAAAAAAAGAACAAGGATGAAGTTTCTGTTTTATTTAATTAGGGAGAGAGAATAGAAAAAAAGTATAATTGATATATATATAGCATATAATAAATTGTATTAGCGCATACATAAATGATATTATAAAAGGCTCCTGCCTTGTCATTTTTGTTGCCTAGTCGCCTAGAAGGGCGCCTAGTTGCTAAAAGTCAAGGCATTTCGGCGAGGCACGCAGCCAAGGGTGTCCAGTCACGTAGGTGACGCCTAGGCAAGCGCCTAGAATCCACTCCCTCCACTTCAAGCCAAAACCCAATCTTCTTAGAATATACTCAACAAAGTCCCGATGAACAAGGTCATATGTCTTAAAATCCAACTCGCAAACCACCCTTGGAAGCTGGAACACCTACTTTGATTCAATAGTCAATTCATTCATTTTCCTTCCGTCCACGAAAAGACCATGTGAGAGAGAGATAATTGGACCCAAGACACACCTTAGACTATTGACAAGAACCTTGATAGTAGTCTTTAAAATGCTCCGACCCCTTTCTTCTTCGGAATGATGGCTAAAAAAGTAGCTTTCACCACATCGGCCACCTCAGTAGAGGAGTGAACTTAGATAAAACTGCTAAGACACATTTGGTGGGACCAACATTTCTTTAAAAACTCGATTGTGAAGTTGTTAGGGCCTGGAAATATGAGGCTGAACATGGCCCTGGACGTTTGTTTGTTCTCCCTACCAAGAGTTTCTAACTCTACATTCACTCCCCCTACCACAACAAGTGGGGAAATCGACAGTATCTCCTCTTCTTCCCGTTTGTCCTTGTGTTGGCAAGGCACAGGCGTTAGAGCTTGAGAGTTCAGTTGGGATAGCCAATCCGGTTGCATGCCACTGACTGGGAGACATGAGAGCTTATGTGTTGCCTTTATGGTGCTTGGAAACATCAATTGGAACTAGGGTAGGCTTGACACCGACGATGAGATAGAGTTGCCACCATTGGACCTTGGAGGCAATCTTTGATGATCTTCATGATAACGAGACTCACCTCTTCTTCCAGAAAATACCTTTGGGCCATGGCAAGATGGCCCTGAGCGTATTAAGGGTGCTGGTTTGGCTTGGAGGGGAAATGTGGTTGGATCGACAAAGAAGGGGGTCTTGTAGAAGGTGGAGCTTGGGAGTTTGGTAGAACTTGAGAGATATATGGGCTTGGGCTAGAGTGTTACTAGGGTCAACAGTTGGGTTTAAGTGGGCAAGGTTAAAGGTTTGGATTACGGGAGAATGAGCCGCTGGTTTAGGTTAGCTAGGTATAAAAAATGAGGCTTCGACCATCACTTCTCTAATTAGGTCCTTGAGAGCTTCTTGATACAAATTTTTCGGTTCAAAGTTTGAATTAATCCCCATGACCTCCTTGAATGCCTCGCACACTTTGTGAATTTCCTAAAATCAATGTTGGGTTTCGAGGTGGGTTGGAAAAGGAAAAGGGCCCGCCTAAGTAGGCAGTTGTCTCTTTGCTTCCAGGACCTCCATTTGAGATTCCTATGGCATTGTTAATTGGTGGTGTGTTTGGATCTCCGGTGTCTGCCTATTCTTGTACCACCCCCACGCCCCCAGCTTCTACTCCTTGTGTGACTTCTCAAATGGGACTCTCAATCCTATTGATCTCCCAATCCTATCGCCATAGACCTTCTCTTCTCCCATTAGTTACTCCGAGGAATGAGGCTCTCTCCTACTTTGTAATAGCCTTCTTCTTCCCCAAGTTTTCTGAAACTAATAGGATCTCGGGAAGAAATTTCAGCCAAATAGCAACCATGTAGAAAATGCCTCTAGATAATTTGACGGCTGTTGGGATTGAATGTTTCCACTTCTACTTTCAAATGCACCCATTTGCAGCTCTCCTTAGCCAAGGGTCAAGGGTTGTCCACTCTAATGAACCCACCACACAGTTCCCCCACTATCTCAATGATCTTGCGGCTTCAGAGATGCATTGGAAGACCAAAAACCGTTATCCAACACCTAGAAACCTTCTAGTTATCCTCCACTACTGCAACCCTTCGATGCCACTTCCCGATCTAAAAGTTAAAACCATCGATCATGAACCCCTTCGACCAAACCTGTAGTACACGATTGGCTTCTTTAACTGACAGTAATAAGACCAAGAACATTCCTTGAGGTAACTTTTGAACTTCGGGACATAGAAGCAAATCCCATTTTTGTTTCAAAATAGGACCTAGCACAGATGCCAGCAA